GATGGATATCCCATCAACTTCCAATTCTTTGCCACCACTAAAAGAGCTGCTATAAATATTTTTGTATACGTAAGCCCTTTTTCTTTTTCTTTTTTATCTTTTTAGGATACAGACCTAGTAGTGGTATAGCAAGCGTTTATTTGTTATTATAGGTGCCTACTATGTGCTAAATACCTTCCTAGGAACAGAGGATAAAAAGAACAGTTCCTATCCTAAAATGTCTAACACTATTAAGAGAAAGAACATATACATATATAAGTAAATATGAAATAAGTATAAAGTGATTTCAGGGGGCTCTACAATCTAGGGGTATCAGGAAAGGCTGTAGAAATAATAATTGTAATAACAACTCACATTTATATGTTGCTTTAACGGTGTGGGAATCACCCTCATACAGTGTTTTAAGTACCTAAAGCACTGGTCTCACCCTGTCACTTCCCTCCAATATCATGGATTACAATAATTCCACACTTTATTAAGCAGGATTTCTTCATTGCTGTGCTTCCCCCCCCCGACTCCCTAAAAATCATCTCACTGGGGTTAACCTTGGAGCCATTCAAAATTTGTGTAGAGATATATTCTAACAATAGATATGTAGTGGTGCAGTGGACCTCTCCATCCATCTGATGCTGCACACGTTTATTGTCTACTGTCTGTAAGGCACCAGGTTTGTAATTTACTCTTAAATAATGTGTAAGGTAAGAGTGGATACACAAATAAATAGGATACATTGTAGAATCTGATATGGGCAAAGAAAAGCCTTGGGCAGCTAGGTGGCGCATTGAATAGAACTCTAGCCTTGGAGTCAGAAGGACCTGAGTTCAAATCCAGCCTCAGACACTTAACACTTACTGGCTGTGTGACCTTGGGCAAGTCACTTAACCCTGATTGCCTCACACAAAAAACAACAACAATCAAAAAAAACAAAGAAAGGTCTCAAAAAATAAGTAAAATTTTAGTGGGAAGAGCTCACTTTCAGCTCAGGATGGGTGTCAGGGACAGCATTGTGAAGGAGATTAAGGGAGAGAATATAATTTTTTTAAATTTTATATAATATTTTATTTTTTCGCTAATTACATGTTAAAGCAATTTTTAAACTTAAGAAAAAGCTTTGAGCTCCAAATTCTATCCCTTCCTCCCCTCCCCAAGACAGTAAGCAATTCCATATAGTTTATACATGTGCAATCATTTAAAACATTTCCATAGTAGTCTTTTTTGAGAGGCAGTTAGGGTTAAGTGACTTGCCCAGAGTCACACAGCTAGTAAGTATCAAGTGATAAGTGTCTCAGGCCAAATATGAACTCAGGTCTTCCTGACTCCAGAGCTGGTGCTCTTTCCACTGCGCCACCTAGCTGCCCCAGTAGCAGTCATTTTGTACAAGAAGACTTGAATGAGAAAGAAGGAAGGAAAGAAAGAAAGAAAGAAAGAAAGAAAAAGAAGAAAGAAAGAAAGAAAGAAAGAAAGAAAGAAAGAAAGAAAGAAAGAAAGAAAGAAAGAAAGAAAGAAAGAAAGAAAGAAAGAAAGAAAGAAAGAAAAAGAAAAATTCTTCAGTCTATGTATTCAGACAACATTGGTTCTTTCTCTGGATGTGGATAGCATGCTTCATTATAAGTCCTTTGGGATTGTCTTGGATCATTGTATTTCTGAAAACAACTAAGTCGTTCACAGTTGATCATTGTATAATATTGCTGTTACTGTGTACAATGTTCTTCTGATTCTGCTCACTTCATTTTGTATCAGTTAAGTCTTTCCAGGTTTTTCTGAAATCATCCTGCTTGCCATTTCTTACAGCACAATAATATTCCATCACAATCACATACCACAGCTTGTTCAGCCATTCCCCAACTGATGGGCATCCTCTTGATTTCCAATTCTTAGCCCCCACAAAAGGAGCTGCTGTAACCATTTTGGTACAAATAGGTCCTTTCCCTTTTTCCTTGTTGTCTTTGGGATATTGACCTAGCAGTGATATTGCTGGATCAAAAGGTATGCAGTTTTATAGCCCTTTGGGCATAGTTCCAAATTACTCTCCAGAATGGTTGATCAGTTCACAACTTCACCAAAATTACATTAATGTCCTAGTTTTCCCATATATCCTCCAATATTTATCAGGGAATAGCATATATTAAACTCCTACTATATGTCAGACACTATGCTAAGCGCTTTATACATATGACTTCATTTGATCCTAGGGTCTTAAAGAAGAAAAGGATTTCAATAGGCAGAGATGAAGAAGAATTGCATTCCTAGCATTCAGAACAGCCTGGTCTAATAATGCACAGTGGCAGGAAGAGAGTAGTAACACAGTTCTGCTAGAATGTATAGCGTGGGAAGGGAATCAGCATGAAATTAGGCTGGAAAGGCAAGTTAGAGCCAGATTTTCAAAGGCCTTAAATGTTAGACTGAACACTTTGTTTTTTATTCATTAAGCAAGTGGGAGCCACTGATGGTTTTTGAGCAAGGGGGTGATATGGTCAAATCAATGCATGAGAAAGATTATTGTGGCAGCTGAGCCCTAACATTCCCAAGTTGGAATGAGCTGCCTTGGGAGCAATGATGGACTTCCCATCATGGGAGGTCTTCAAGCAGGAATTGTCTGACTACTTGTGAAGGATGCTGTAGAGGGAATTTCTTACTTATTCTCAGATATTTCGGTTACACTTAATCATACTCAAGGTTCCTTCTAACTCTGTGATCCTATGATCCTGCAAATTCTAGGTAGCTTCCCAATTACAAAGGTTGCTCATTTCTGATCAGTATTTGGAGGACTATGTCCTGAAGACTGGATGGCACTGTTCTCCTCCTGTCCTTCAATGCTAGAGCCTTTTCCCGCCTCCTCTGGAAAAAGGGCAGGGATATAATAACTGGTTTCTGCAGCATAGCCAGTAATATGGGAGTGGCCACCATCACCTGCGTGGGTGATCTTTTGAGCCAAAAGAATAGCTGTAAACACTTACAGCTGGCCCACCTGCTTTTCCAGGCTCCCCACCAGCCTGGCTAACCCATCCAAGGTAAGAGAGGGAGGGAGGAGTAGTTGCCTCTATTACATTTTCACTGCAACTTTTAGGATGCTCAGTGTCTCCCTTCCTCCTACTCTAGAGAACTCTCCCTTCAAACTATATAAATTTGTGGAACAGAAACAAAATCTGATATTATAGCTTATCATGGCTCACCCCATACTGGTATGTTCCATGTGAAGGGCACAAGCGAATCCTATTCCTATGCACAATTTCTAATTTCTCAGGCAACTCCTATACACACTGTAGCTTACTTAAATTCTCTGTCCCACATTCACTCTTCACATAGGCCATTCCCACATCCCACCATTTTGGAAACAACAGACAACAGCATTGATCCTTACAACAATAAGGATAAATGGTTATAATTTCGCAGGAGGTATTTTTAAGATCAAAGACTTAGAGCTAGAAGGGACCTTAAAAGCTGTCTAGTTCATCATTCCTACCCCTCATTTTATAGGTAGGGAAACTGAGGCTCACAGCTGCTAAGTCATTTGTCTATGGTCACACAGCTAGTAAGCGTAAGAAGCAGATTTGAATGGAGGTCTTCCTGACTCCAATTCCAGTAGCTGATGTACTCCATCAGACTTCCTGTACCTGTTGCCTTTTAGGGGGCATCAGAAAGTAACCAGAGGATGGGTGAATATTATTGACTGGTATGGAGGCTGGCGTTGGTCCTGTTAGAGTGGCAATGTGGAAGGGTAGTTAGGGGTCATGGTGAAGGTGATACAAAAACAAAAGATGTCAATAATGTAAAATTCACAAACTCTCCAACAACAACAACAAAAACCAATGGATGCTTCGGCCATTTGCAAAAAGCAAATTATCCCCAGGTTCCCTGATGCGAGAGTCTTTTATACTCCTTCTCTTCCATTTTGCAGGAGTTTGGCCATTGACCTTTAACCCTGATTTCAGCTTTGCCCTTTGAATCCTATGGCTATACTGGCCCTTTGGCCTGTTGCTCATGTCATATGGACTAAAATCTTTGCTTCTAGTTCTTTAGGACTCTGACTTGCTCACCTGGTAGGGACCTCTTCATAAGGCTTCATACAAGCCTCTTGCTTTCACCCCTGAATTTTTGTCAGTCATCTGGTCCCTGGCCTGGGGTGTGATGCATTGAAAAGCCCCCCACCTATGCCTCTCCAGTGCTTAGGCAAAAGCTTAGCACCATCTTAGAGAAAAACTAGCCACCCTGCTCCATAGACTTCACTCTAGGATGGGCAAAGCAGCACAGGATGATCTCTGATTAGTTATTTGAAGGAAGCCTTTCATTGAAATAGTGGGGTTATTTGAAGAGCAGTACTATATAGAGAGATGGTTGGCCTCAGAGTTAGAAAGACCTGGGTTCCTAACTCTGGAATACTGGTTATGTGACCCTGGGCAAGTCACTTGATCTCTCAGTGCTCCAGTAAACTCTCTGAACTGAAAGTTGCTCATCTCATTAGTAGAGAGAGTTTTCTCACTGGGACTTTCCCATGAGTGGTTCTCAAAGTAGGATCTAGGGACCTCTAGGGGTTCCTGAGACCTTTTTTGACTTTGAGGTCAAAACTATTATCATGATACTAAGGTATTTTAATTTCAAATATAATAAAAAAAATACACATAGATATTTGTATAACATATAATATGAGCCATACAAAATCTCTTCAGGAAGTCCTCAATAATTTTTAAGAGTGCAAAGGAGTCCTGATACCAAAAGTTTGAGAACCACTATCCTGTGCCAATGAAATTACAAATATGGAGAAAAATAGACCAATTAGGTTAGTATAAGCAATAAATAGAGCAATGTTATTAGAATATTCAGCTGGGCATTAATTATAGAATAATTCTGACAGTGTAGATGTAGATAGAATTATTAAATCCCATCAGAACTTTGTAGCAAATAGTAAATGTAAATGAATAGTAAAAAAAATAAGAAAAATAAAATAGTGAAGTAAATGAATATATTAATTATGCTCATTAGTTGTATATCTATTGTTGCAGGGAATTGAAGTAAAGAAACTCACAAAACAATTAAGAAGAGCCACCAAATCATGTTGACACATACCTTGATACTTGGTAACTTCAGTGTGAAGGTGGGTACAAAAAAGACCCATGGGGAAAATGTTGGAAAAAACAGTTTAGGCAAGAAAAGAAAAGAAGTCCAAAATTTATGGATTGCTCAGAATTCTGACAACTGTAATCATGAACACATAGTCTAATAAGAGAGTTAGAAGACATCAGATATGATAAAGGAGGGAAACCAGCATTTATGAAGTACTTACTAAGTGCTGGGCACTGCTAAGAGCTTTACAAATATGATCTCATTTGATCCTCACAACTCTGGGAGGTAGGTTTTGTTATTATCCCCATTTTACAGTTGAGGAAACTGAGGCAAAGAGAGCTTTAGTGACTTGCCCAGAGTCACACAGCTAGTAGATGTCTGAAGCTGGATTTGGACTCAGTTCTTCCTGACTCCAGGCCCAGGGCTGAATCCATTTTGCCACCTAGTTTGGTGATGAGCAGAAAGCATTTTTAAAAAGCAATTGCCTATGTTAACAAACCAAAGATAATTGGTCATCTGCCCCTCCCTACCTTTCTGGTCTTCTTACACCTATTCTTCCCCACATACTCATTGAGCCAATGACATTGGCCTCCTTGCTGTTCCACAAACAAGACTCTATCTCTGATCTAAGCATTTCCACTGGCTGCCCCTCAAGTCTGTAATCCTCTCTTTCCTCATCTCAGTCTCCTGCCTTCCCTGGCCTCCTTCAAGTTCCATCTAAAACCCCACCTTCTACAAGAAATTTTTTCCAGCTCCTCTTAATGTTAGGGTCTTCCCTCTGTTGGTTATCTTCAAGTTATCTTGTACAACATATTACAAAAGCCTTGGTGAAGTTTTAAGCACTAATAACTTGTATATTAATAGCTGCATGTATCTCATTTGCATAGTTGTTTGCATGTCATCTCCTCCATTAGACTGTGAACTCCTTGAGAGCAGTGACCAGTTTTTGCCTTTCTTGGTACAACGCCCTCCTCCCCCTTCCCTGTCCACTCCCCTGCACTGAGCATGGTGCCTGGCATGAGTAGGTGCTTAATAAATGCTTGTTGAAGAGATCATAAAAAAGGGAAAAGAACCCACATGTACAAAAATATTTATAGCAGCTCTTTCTGTGGTGGCCAAGAATTGGAAATTGAGGTGATGCCAATCAACTGGGGAGTGGTTGAACAAGTTGTGGTATATGAATGTAATGGAATACTATTGTTCCATAAGAAATAATGAGTAGGCAGACTTCAGAAAAACCTGGAAAGGCTTACATGAACTGATGCTGAGTGAAATGAGCAGAACCAGGATAACACTGTACACAGTAACAGCAATATTGTGTGATGACCAACTTTGATAGACTTAGCACTTCTCAACAGTGCAATGATATTTTAAGATGACTCCGAAAGACTCATGATGGAAAATGCTACCTATATCCAGAGAAAGAACTATGGAGTCTGAATGCAGATTGAAGCATACTATTTTCTCTCTTTTTAGTTGTTTTTTTTTCTTTCTCATGGTTTTCCCCTTTTGTTCCAATTCTTTTTTCACAACATGACTAATGTGGAAATATGTTTAATATGATTATACATGTATAACATATCAGGTTGCATGCTGTCTTGGGGGAGGGAAGTAAAGGAGGGGGAAAATTTAGAACTCAAAATCTTATAAAAGTGAATGTTGAGAACTAAAAATAAGTAAATAAGTTTTTTTTTTAAAGAGAGAGGAAAATAAAGTTTCCTGATGGCCACCCCCGCCCCAATGCTTGTTGATTTGATTTGAGTACTACCATGAAAGTCATTCCAAAATATGTTACCTTCATTCAGTCAGATCACCAACTGGTCAGAAAAGAAGGTCAAAATTAATATCATATTTGAAGAAATGAAAAAAAAAGCAAACTAGAGGTTATGATGTGTATGTCATGTATAATAGCACCAATTTTATATAAGCCACTAACTTAGAAAAATATGACATACATAAAAGTAAATACATTGACTCTGATTATGAAGATTTCATTTTAAAATTAATAATAATGCAGAAATATTGTATAGTCATCTATGGATATATGACTTAGATTGAATGTTGTTATTCAGTCATTTCTGATGGACTTGGGATTTTCTTGGCAAAGATACTGGAGTGGTTTGCCATCTCCTTTTCTAGCTCATTTTACAGATGAGGAAACTGAGGCAAACAGGGTTAAATGACTTGCCCAGGGTCACATAGCCAGTACTCTTCTGAGGGAGTTCTGAACTCAGGAAGATGAGTCTTCCTGATTCCCAGCCCAACGCACTATCCACTGCACCACCTAGCTGCCCATAAATATTTCTTAGAGAATTTTAATTGATGTAATATAGCTGCCGCAATGAGAAGGCCAAGAGACTCCAGAATCCAACTCACACAGCAAACACAACATCCTTGACAGTTGGAGACATACAATAACCAAGGGTCGTTTAGTGTCCTTTTTTTCAAATAAGTCAGACTTACTCTTGATGTTTGCAGAAAATAAATGGAAAGGAAGATTAATCAGATCACCACATTCATGAGAATAAGGAAGAATTAAAAAAAGCACAGGTTGCCATTTCTAACCCCTGCTGAGTTGTCTATCTGAGCTCCAGGCTCCAAGAAAGAAGAATAGAGGACAAAAGGCAGGGGGGTGCTTTCTACTGCCTGCCTGCCTTCCAATAGTACCTTCCAACTTGTACTATGTATATCTCCTCCCTCATCTCCAGCTTCCACTAGGAAGAAGAGAGATGCCTTTCACTTAATGATTAACATATTCTCATCTGGTCATTCCCTACACATCCCAGTGATTCGGAATTGTAGTAATCATCCAAAACCCATTCCCCATCCCCTACCTGATACCTTATTCCTATCTCCTCAACCCACCCACTCCAAAGTCCCAACCAAAATGCTACCCTCCCCTTTCTCTGTGCCCTCTCGAATGCCTGCTTCATAGGCAAAAACTTATTTTCTTCTTAAATCTTTTCCTCTCCCACTCCTTCCATCTTCTGGCTTCCACTGAGATCTGGCTCCCTACTGATAACACAGCCTCCCTGACTGCCCTTTCCAGTACTGGCTTCACATTTGCTCATTCACCTCAGTTCACTGGTTCAAGTAAAGAAGTTGGAATACTCTTCGCTCCCCATTGCTATTTCCAGGTTCCGCCCTCACCACCATCACTCAGAAACCTCCCTTCATTTGAGGCCCCTATAATCCACATCTTCCACCTGATCAAAATCATGACAGCTATTGTAGATAAACCTCCCAGGACACTACCCTCCCTTCTCAACAAATTTAGTACTCAGCTCATAATCTTTCTCTCCTCCCTAACTCCAGGCTTCATACTAGAGGACTTCAGCATATGTATTGATACTCTCTCAGAAACCTTAACCTCCCAGTTCCTCAATCTACTCACTTCTTAATACCCATTCATCCACCCCACTTCCATCACACAGAAAAATGATCATATTTTTCATTTTGATATCTCTCACCAAAATCCCACCTCCATGTTCAGGAACTGAAATTTCCTTATATTGTAACAATCTATTGGCTTTCCATTTCTCCCTCTTCCCATGCCAAACTCTACTCTTTGTCCAAACCATCATTTCCAGTCCCTTGACCCCTCAGTTCTCTTCTAGTCTATCCCTCTTGCATAAATCACTCTCTTCTTTTCCCCATCTTGACCCCTTAGTGAATCAATTCAACTCTACACTGTTCTTTTCTCCTTAATCTCTGGTCCTCTTATCATATTGACAATTGTGCCCTGCCAAGCTTCAGCCTTGAGTTGTTCCCAGGACCTGTTGCCTTCATTCCAAACATCCTGCTGATCAAAGGTGGAGAAAATTGCACAATGCTTCTGACTGGGTTCACTACAAATTTATGCTACATAACCTTAAAAGGGCTCTCCTAGTTGCTAGGCAATCCTGTATAATCTCCCTTATCAACTCACTCTCCAACTCCACAGTGGCTCTTCCAAACTTTTTCATCCTTCCTCAAACCTCCAAGAACTCTGCCTCCCCTAGAGTCTTGGCTGAGAACCTTGCCTCATATTTTACTGCAAAAACTGTCCTACATACCTGGAATGCTTTGCCTCCTCATCTTTGCTGCCTGGCTTCCTTCAAGTCCCAGCTAAAGTCACATCTTTAAGCCTTTCTCAATCTCTCTTAATTTTAGTGCCTTTTATCTGTTGATTATTTCATATTTATCCTATATATAGTTTGTTTATACATGTATGTTTGCATGTTGTTGCCTCCATTAAATTGTTGACTCCAAAAATTTTGTCTTTCTTTGTGTCCTTAGCACTTAGCACGGTATTTGGGACATCTTATGTACTTAATAAAATACTTATTGGCTGATTTCTTACATTTATCAGAAAGTGTCTTCTAAGTGAGCAATTTTGTGGTAAACCAATTGCTACATACAGGGATGGGGGGGAGCCTCAGAAGAAACAGCTCACACATATAAACTTGAAACTTCTGTAATAAGATTCACTGGAGTATATTAGCTGTAGATAATAGAATTTGCCAGGTAGGAGATGAAATGAAATGTTCCGTAGGTCAGTGTCTTGAGTTGGCTCCCCACCAGCCGTCTGAGGTCAGAAATGTCCCATTGGCCAATGGGGAAAAGTTGTTACACCCAGGGATCCTGGGGCGTGTTGTGGCACCAGAGATATCTTTCCACCAGCTATGTGGGCAGTCCAGAGACTGGCTATTGAAGGCAGCCGTGTAGGGGGAGTGTGTGTGTGGGGGGGCAGACAGATGCAGAAAAATCAAATACATCTCTTTTGGATCTTAATTCAATAAAAATTATATTCAATAAATGACCTTAGAAGTATAGAAAAGGGTATGGCCATTTCAAACCGGCAGATTTGTAAGTTGTGAGAAGCCTGGCAAATGAGATTTCAGAATGAATCCTCAAATCCCCTATAACTGAGTTTATTACTCTCTAAAATGGGAATTCCTTCTTTTTCAAGTTAATAATTTCCCACCTTTTAAAAGGTATTAAACTTTGAGTATCTCATTTAAATCAAAGCCAAGTGTGATAATTGGTACACACCTTGAATAATTCAAATAAAAGGAAAGGGAAGCAGTCAAAGAGATCAGAGACTGGGGCAAGGAAGACAATTGTAGCACACCTCTAAGGTACAAGGGGAGTCTTGACCCATGGCAGTGAAGGGAGGTTTGGAAGAAAGCAATTGGGTCTGCAGGTATCTCAGAGTGGAGGTCTCAGACCGGGATACATCCCAGGAAAAAGTCAGCTCTTTCTCTAATTTCCTTTTCCATTGTCTGTCTATTCCTAGGCTGTAGGGTGGAATTTTTTTGCTATCCAAATACTTCCAGTAAACTGAATTTTTCTTAACCACAAGGAGCCCAGGAGCTAATTAGGCATTGATAAGAAGATTTTGTTAGGCAAAAAGCCCAACCTCTGCTTAAGTGTTAGAAATTTTCCTAACAGGGGGCTCAGAGTACTCATGATTGAACTTGGAACTTTGCTTCAAAAATAAACTTTCTGAAAAAGGAGGAAACTAAGTGCACTTTGGGAACCACTGTATTCCCCACTCTATAGCCACTGGTTTAAAACCAGCTAATTACTGTAACAGGGGGCTACAATTTTCTGTGGGATCATTTTTTTTCTGTTTGAGAATTTAAATATTGTATTAAATTTTAAAATCTGTTTCATTTTGTCTTTGCAGGAAACAAAAGCAAGAGCATAAAGCAAAATTAGAATCAGAACCTGAGCAACAGCAGTAACATCTGCATCTCCAGGAGAATCAGACCCAGAGAAACGTCCATCACAGCGAGCGCAGACAGCCCTGGTCGCTACCTTCAAGGACTCAGGCCTGGGTTGCCTGTCTGGGGGCCTGGAGCCTATTCCCAAGAAGTTCCTGGGGTGAGCAGCAGACTTTCAGGGGAGCAAACACACCAAGCAAGCCCCCTACCCTTCAGAGTTTGTGGTGATAGAAACCCCACCTGAAAAGGCTCTCTCTTTGGCCCCTGCACGGAAGTAGCTAATACAATGACTTCAAGCAAGCAACAGAGACTGGAGGAAATAGAAAAACAGGATGTGTACCTTCGGGAGAGGATGAAGTACCGCTTCCACATCATTCCTGATGGAAACTGCCTTTACCGGGCTGTCAGCAAGGCAGTCTATGGGCACCAGGACCAGTACCAGGAGCTTCGAGAAAAGACTGTCAACTACATGGCTAGGAACCTTGACCTCTTCAGACTCCTCATTGAGGGTGATGTGAAGGAGTTTCTCTTCAGAGCAGGACAGGATAGCACATGGGGTGGCTACCCAGAGATGCTGGCCCTGGGGCACATGCTCAATGTCAATATTCATTTAACTCTAGGAGGCAGTTTGGGGAATCCTACTATATCCACAACCATTCATTCTTTAGGTCCAGAGGGCTCCCCCAGGAAAAGTATTTGGCTAAGCTGGCTCAGTTATGGGCACTATGACACTGTACTGGATTACTCCCTTCCCATACTAGAGGATGATAATTTTTTGTGTGGGGGAGACAACCTTTTCTTTCTTTTTTTGTTTTTCATTATATTTTTGTTCCTTTTTATTTTCGGTTCCAAATCTTCTTCCTCCTCCCAGCCCCTCCCCCAACCATTGAGAAGGCAAGAAATAGGATACCCATTCTACATATAAAGTCATACAAAACAAAATTTCCTCATTAGTCATGTTCTGGAAGGAGAAAAAAGCAAGAAAATGAAAGGAAATTTTGCTTCAGTTTGTACTCTGAGTGTATTAGTTCTCTGTCTGGAAGTGAATAGCATTTTGTATCCAGAATCCCTTGGGATTGTGGTGGATCACTGTAATGATCAGAGTTACTAAATCTTTCATGGTTAAAATATTGCTGTTACTATGTAGATTGTTCTGGTTTTTCTCACTTCATTTTTTATCAGTTCATATAATTCTTCCCAGGTTTTTCTGAAACCATTCCCTTCATAATTTCTTATAGCACATTAGTATTCCATCACATTTATATACCATAGCTTCTTCAGACATTCCCCAGTTGGTGAGAATCCGTTCAGTTTCCAATTCTGTGCCACCACAAAGAGAGTTGCTGTAAATATTTTTGTATATATGGGTCCTTTTCCTTTTCTGGTGATTTTGTGTTATAGACCTAGTAGAGGTCAAAGGCTATGTGAAGTTTTTTAGGGTATAGTTCCAAATAGTTCTCCAGAATGGTTGGACTCCACTAACAGTCCATTAGTGTCCCTATTTTTCCATACCCCCTTCCAGCATTTCTCAGAGAATAGCAATTCTTGCAAACAACATGAAGCTAGAAGGAAAAAGAAAGAAAAGTTATTTCATTCTTGAAGTACTAGACATTGCGTTCAGTAAGGGGCTGGCTCACAGAGTCCTGAAGAAAACACACACACACACACACACACACACACACACACACACACATCTTAAACTCCACAAGAAAACTAATGGATGTGATGGGGGAATAGTAGGGAATAAGAAGAATGGTGATTATGAAGAGGATAATATGGAGGATGGAATAATTGGAAACTAAATAAAGTAAATATTGAATTTATTAAATCCTATTTGGAGAAGCAGACAGGGTAAAATGGAGACTTATGCTTTCATAAAGAATCTGATTTTGTGTGCTGCTGTGTTTGTGAAAATGCTCGTTTTAACTGTTTACATTCAGAATTTTTAAATGTAATTTAATTTTAAAATTGTGATCTTTTGCCCCCTTGAAAAAAAATAAAGAAAACATCTAAACTCTAAAATAGTAAAAATAAAAGAAATAAAAAATTAATGAACCCTCCTAAAATTTTGACAAAATATGGAAGAGAATGAAGAGCAGAAATTCTAGGTTTGCTTTATCTCTTTGGAAAAATCAAGTATGAGATCTTAACCATCTAGTCCATGGGATAGATGATGCCCAATGGTTACAGTTCACATTTTTGTGATTTAGGATATTGACCTGGATCATGATTAGCACCAGGAATATCAAGGGTTACAGCACACATGAAGACACCTCTGTCACAGTCACTGATTCTTAATCAAAGTCAGGGTTATCTGTAATAACGTATCTAAGAGGTCATTAGCCTCTTGCGTGCAAGCAACCAGTGAAGATGATAAGAGGTACCCTCCAGAATGATCCCCTCAAGGTTCCCACAATCAGACCATTTTCCTCCCTGGGCATCTACTTAGGCTCTTTCTCTTTCTGTCTCCCCTCCCACTGAGAAATTCTTGATCATCAACAAATCATTGAGGGGATCCCATTTCATACAGGTCAATGAACATTCAGCATAAATGTGTAATGATAGCTTCAGGTCCTTGGTGGTAAAATAGCCTCTCCCATCAAGACCACCCTTAGGTTCCCCAAGTCTTTTCTGGAAAGAAGTTGTTCCAACCAACCCAAAGGAATGCAGACCTGTGAATGGAGGGTGTCCTGAGTTGTTTACCCAGGAGAAATGGAGCCCTCTGAAGGGACAGAGAACCTAAGGCCTTGGTCACTTTGGACCAGGAAGGGACTAAGGAAAGTAAAGAGATGGTCTTTTATCCAAAAGAAATACCAACTTATTAGGTTAGTCTTCCTGGAAGCTAGATCCAAGAAACCACTGGATGGGAGAGTCCTCGATCTTCCTTAGGAGTCAGAGACACAATGATAAAGCTGTTGAGTGAGAGTAAGTCAATGTCTCAACAAGTATGTACTGTTCCATTTTTCTGTGCTAAGTTCTGGGGGTGTAAAGAAAGGCAAAAGCAGGTTCCTTGCCTTCAAAAAGCTCACAGTCGAAAGGTCTGACCAAGATGTGCCCATAGTGGGTGATACTGCCCCCTGGAGGGCGCTGGAATGATGGAGGGGTAGTAGTAGCCTCAGATGCAATTGGGGGGCATTGAATAAAAATAAGAGGATGGTGGAAGTATAAGGAAAGAAGAGAAGAAAATTTTGAAAAACCATTGGTACATGTTTCATCTGTTGTGTACCAGAGTTAAAATCATAATGATTACATTATTTTCCAAATGAACACACAAAATGCAAGTTATTACCAAGTAGTGGTCAAGTCCCATGACAGATCTTAACAAGTAAGTGTTGGCAGGCATTGTCAGGAAATCCAGCATACATTGGCAGGAATATGTGTGTGTAATGACTTGTTTGCAATATGATACTATATGGCTACAAGATGCAATATTGTGTCATCAAAATTTCAATCAGGAAAAAACTCACAAATTTACAATAAATTATTAAATTTAAGATGTGTCATTTCAAAGAAATATTTTATACTTTTTGAAATGCCACAAATTAAAAAAAAACCTTAAAGAGTTAAAGAAAGTAAATTTCCAGGGGAGCACAAACTAAATTTTTTAAAGGGGGGAGATAGGCCAAATAAGTTTGGGAACCTCTGGTCTGACCATATCAGAGGCCACTGCCTCCCCTCCCCCCATACTCAACAAACTCTAGTGGTTGCTTTTTCCTCCAGGATTAAACACAAAGTCCTCTGTTAGGCATTCAAAGCCCTTCACAATCTAGCTATTTTCACCTTTCCAGTCTCCTACAAATTACTCTCAGCCAGGTACTCTTCAATTTAAAGGCTCTGTCCTTGCTGTTCCACAAATAAGACACTCCATGTCACAACTTGGGTATTTTCCCTGTCTCCCATACTTGAAATGATTTTCTTCCTCATCTCTGCCTACTGGCTTCCTTTTAATCAAAATCAAAATTCCATCTTCTGCAGGAAGCCTTTCTCAACCCCTCTTAAATCTTGCGCCTTCTCTCTTTTAATTATTTCCAACACATCATATATATAGCTTGTGTGTACATATTTGTATAGTTATTGTTTGCCCCTTAGATTGTGAGCTTTTTGGGAACAGTTACTGTCTTTTGTCTTTTTCTGTATCCCTAGCACTCAGCATAGTATAGTGGCACTTAGTAATTGCTTAATAACATTTATTCATTAACTGAATGACTAATGGGGGAGAAAATATGTGAACAACCACGCAACTACAAGTTTTGTACAGTGTAGTTGGGAAGACATAGCAATGGAACTGACCAGAAAGTACCTTTTGCAAAAGGTAGCATTTGAGCCAAGTCTTGAAGGAAATCAGAGAAGAGAGGTGATGAGGAGGAAGGAGAGAATTCTGGGCATAAGGGCAGCCAATGTAAGGGCTGTTTTGCGGATCAAATGAAATAATATTTGTAAAGCACTTAGCATAGTGTTTAGCATAAAATAGGCAGTGAATTAAATGCTAACTGATATTACTAGAATATTTACCCAATTGTGGCATGTCTGAAACTTCTTTCAGGACAGCTAACAATCTCCAGATATAGGACTGATCCAAAGCTAGGAGTTCCAAGCAGTGCAAAAGATGACTTGATTTTGTTCAGCCCTCTTTCTGCCTCCAGTCAATAGCCTGAGAGTTCGCGATGGAGCACTGATGTGATGCTAGATTCACACTTCCTCTAAGTCCAATGCCGAAGCTCCCCTAAGAAAGCATCCCAGACTACACCTTTATAGACAAGAGCAGCACCCAGAGCAGAAAATCTTCCTGGCCAGGCCTGCCCAAACTTCCCATTTTGCCCACTTCTAATGGCCCAGAAGGCACCCCCTGGTGCCTTCCACAGAGGCTATGATGAGTTTGTCCCCCACCTTAGCCTCTGCCTACATTCTATTTCTCCTGGAGGAGAGAGCCTAAGCTCCCTGAAGGCAAGAAACTGGGTCATTTTCTCAGGTGCCAGCCCCTTTCACTGGACATAGCGTACAATGTGTGTGTGTGAGTGTGTGTGTGTACTTACATACATATTCATAATATATACATATGCAATACATATGTGTATATATATATATATATACACATATATAATATTAGATGTGTGCCTACGTGTGTATAGTTACTGTCCTTGTCTTGCCGCATAGCCCTTCGAAGGTGAACTCTTTTCTACATTGACCACCTTTCAGGCAGGCAGTTGCGAGTTCTGAGGAATTGTCTGATCCGGTGAAGGCTGAGTTGGAGGAGTCTTGGCCCTGGCTGGTGAGGATGTTAAGTACCACCAAGCCTGGTGGAGTGTGGAATTGCTACCTGAGGGAAAGAAGCAGCAAGTGCTCGAAGGCAAACAAACAAAAGATACTCCTTCCCTGAAAATCGAACCTGGGACCTGGCTGTGAAAACGCCAGAGTTTAACTCTTAAACCACCAGTGAGCACCCAAGACACCATGAACTCATCAATCACGGCCGCCTTGTCTCGATCAATAAACCTCGCCACATAAATTATCCTTCGTCTGCCCATGCATACAACACACTCGATTCCCCCTCTCTCAGCTTCCCCTCTGCTCACCCTTAAGTCCCGTAATCACTCTCTCCTGCCCACTTCTAACTTCCGCACAAAGTCGTCAATTCCCTTCTTGTCCTAAGACTCGGGATCTGTCCGGCTTTCTGAAAGAAGCTTGTGCTCGCAGGGACCAAAGTCTTCTGGCAGTCAACGGCTGAGGCTGGAAGCTCACGCGGGTCCCCTTGCTGCCCAGGCTGCCCCAGAACAGAGGTCCGGCCTCCCAATTGGTGGGCACCCGCACAAGCACCTCGAGGCATCCTGTCGTTTGCCCTAGCTTCCTGTTCCCTCGGTGCCAGCTGG